TTTATACAAACAGCAAGACTTACTAAAATCGTAAGGCGTTGGTGTTCTTAATTCGCGAGGTGTATGAGACATCTTTTATATATAATTAATGTTATTTTTCTTTTGCCAAAAAATTTTTTAATACATTTAATGGAGATACTTTTTTTTCTCTTATTATTATTATTGAAAAAATTCGACTAACATTATTAATATAGTATTTATTACCGATTTTATATAATTTTAGAGACTCCTAATTTGTAATAAGTAAAACTGAAATATATTGTTATTCAACCTGTTTAGTGTTACACTATATAATATATAAAGTAAATAAAAAACATCCATTGTAAGGTTTTTTATTTATTTATCTATGTTTGATGTGTACCACATTTTACAAATGAATCCCGTTTACACGAAAAATGACAGCATATTTTACCCCACTCCAATTATCCATTATTCCTGCTATTTAATACAATATTGGTGGTAAATAATGAAGTAATGAGAAGTATGTTGGCTTTTTTATTTTTAAATGTTCATATTGAAATTGAATTGATCTTTATTTTTTTTTCAATCAATCTCTAATTATATACAAATTTTTCCTTTTGAGGCCAACAGGTAATATCAGTGATAATAATAATATACAATGTGTTGTAAAAAAAAGGCTGCAACGAAAAATAATTTATTTGTTTAAAATCCTATAGAATTTGATACTATTATTATTGTCATTTTGTAAAGGCGATTTACATCTTTTTTTTAGACATCACTAAATTTTTTGGCTTGTGCCGAAAAGTATCGGGAGCCCCCAAATGTATTGACTAAACAAAAAACATATAATTAATAACAATAGTAAAAATAATAACAATAATAATTCTGGCGTTGTTGTTGTTGGTTGTGGTGGTTGTGTCAATTGCAGTTGTTGTATTAATAATAATAACAATAGTAGTAACAATAATAACAATAATGATATCAGCGATATTAATGTTAATTCAACTTTATTACCTGTGACGACTGATTAGAATTTGATACTATTATTATTGTCATTTTGTAAAGGCGATTTACATCTTTTTTTTAGACATCACTAAATTTTTTGGCTTGTGCCGAAAAGTATCGGGAGCCCCCAAATGTATTGACTAAACAAAAAACATATAATTAATAACAATAGTAAAAATTGGATCAATTTGTAGCTAAAGTACTGAAAATTATAAAATCTCACGTATCCGGCTTTTCTGGAACTTTATCAATTAAAATAATTGTTCCAAAGTCTACATAATAATATGTTACATTTTAATCAGATTACTTTTTTAGCCAGAATGCAACCCGCCATTTTTTTTTGCAACACTGTATAATTTTTAAAATAATCAATCATCAGGCACATGAATTAATGTTTGGATTAAACATATGCGCCAATTTTGTCATGGTACAAGTTAATTAAGGAAAAATTGACATGCAATATATTTTTAAAGTAGTTTTCGGGAAAATTTTTATTGAAAAAAAAAAAATCAAATTGAGAAAAGTTCTTCCGAATTTTTCCTTATAAACGTCACAGTCCGAAATTTTAAATTTCATATATATTTCTTTTATTGGAGAAATTTTCTGTATCACGGATATTTTTAAGCCGATCATCCAAATTTTACAATTTACATACTAATACTAATACTAATACTAATACAACTTTATGTGCCACAGCAACAGTTTTTGAGAAAAATTTACAATAATATTTTTATTGTCACATGTTTGTGAAAATTGTCAAGTGCGGAATAACAGGAGAGACCGTCCTATATAAGGAATGGATTTTCACAATTTATTTCAATTTTTTTTATACAGTTTAAAATACTTTTACAAGGGTATTACGTAGCCCATTCTTACAATAAATCATGTGA